ACCTTAGCTCCTGCCCACCTAGCAGTTTGAAAGCATGTAAATGTGAGTAGATAAATAGGTACCACTTTGTTGGGAAGGTAACAATGTTCCGTACACCTCAGTGTATAGTGATGCTGGCTACACAACCACAGAAAAATCTTCTGACAACGCTAGCTTCCTCAGCTAGGAAATGGAGAGGAGCACCAACCCCTACAGTCAGACACGACTGGACAAGTACTAAACAAATTGTTGTAAATTGAGAACTGCCTGTCTTCAGGTGTTACAACATGGTGTTGTGGTCGGCCAGCAGCCCGCAGAGCTAGCAGCGGAGTTGAACAGTGAGGAGGCTGGGGAGGACCATGGGCCAGTCCTGGAGTCTGGGGACGGCCCGGACGAGGGCTCTGCATCGGAGGCAGGGCCATCTGGGAGTGATGCATGGACTCTGGAGCCTCCAGAGTTGGACAGCAGAGAGGCAGAGGATCAGGAGCCTGTTCCTAGTGCACGCATGTGCAGAGCTGCCAGAAGGCAAGAGCAGCTAAAGCAAAAAGGACGACTCGAGAGTAAGGCCAGATGATTGCTCCCTCCCATAAGGCTTAAAAGAGCAGCAAAGGCTCTTGGGCTCTTTGTAGGAAAGCAATGTTGCTAAATCTATTTCCAGTCGGCATCTCGTTTCTGAACTTCGTGGGGCTTTGCCAAGAAAGGCCTTTGGCAGGGTGCCAAAGAAGATAAAGGTTTGTGATAAGCTGAAGGACTTTTTATGAAGGACTTGTTTTGGAATTAACTTGGACTAAGCTGGGAATGAAGTAATTCCCAGCAGTTATAATAAAATATGTTTGTTTAAGACTAAATTGTGTCTAAGTGAGCCTAGATCACAACACATGGGCAGAAACGTAAGCCCTGGGAAGGGGCATAGTTGGCCCTTGAGATATTATGGGATGGAGAGGGAGGGGTGGGAAGACACAAGATGTTGTTACTATATAGTGTAATTAGTTTGTTAGTAAATGAAGTCAGCCTTGGTCTATCTTGCAGGGCTGACATCATTGTGCTAGAGATATAAAGCAGAAAATAGAAAAAAAATAAGAATTGCAGCCTTCAGGTCTTGTTTCTGTTACAATCCACTCTCAATACTGAAGGTTTATGACGCCTGAAAATAAGTGTAAATAAATTACAGGTATTCCTGCTTGATAACAAAAAATACCGACAAGCATCTTTTTTAAACTTTTCTTTATTGAGTCCTTGTAAAACTTTAAATAGTCTTTTTTTTTTTTCTATGACATTTCAGGAAAAAAAATATGTTTTCCCATTGTGAAGATTGAAATATACACCTCAAAATTGACCTACAAATTGAAACCAAAAATAAACACTTGAAGTGATGTCCTTTTTTTTGGTAAACAAAATGTAAACAGTTCGTATGTACAAATCTACAACCATTCCTTTGTGAAAGTGCTCTTTTGCAAATTAATAAAATGTCTGTTTTGAAATTCCAGTGAGATCATATTTTTGAGAGATAAAACTACTTTCTGGAAACCCACCAATTTTATTTCTTTTTTCTTTTTATGTTTTATATACACATTTACATGTAATAAGTCTCCATTTCTGTCTTTGGGAGTAAAATATTTCCTACTGAAATGCTAAGTTACTAAGATAAAACACTTTATCCGATTCTTGATAAAGCCCTATTTGTACATTACAGAGTTTTACAAACATTTTGTTCCATCCGATAACCCTGAAGCAAACAGAGGGGAGATGGTTTCATGATGAGGGGAATGTACAAAACTGTTCCAAAATATTAGGATAAAACAGGATGCTCAGAGAAGGGAATGCCACATTTCATTTTCATTCAGTTTTTAAAAATAATAATAATAATAATTAAAAGTCTCAGGTTGCTTTTTAAGGGAATATAAAATGAGGCAGAATTTCATGTTTTGGCCAGCAGAGGCCCCAGAATTCTCTTTGTTCTCCAAAATGAGCAGAAACTGAATTAGGTACTGAGCAAGATAAATTTTGGACTAAATTGTGGTTGTAAGCCTAGGATAGTGATGGCTAACCTTTTTGCCATCGCGTGCCAGGAAGGGGGGGGCGGGCGGGGGAGGTTCACAAGCATGCACGTGCCCACACCCATAATTCTATACGCCCCGCCCTGCGCATGCATGCATGAACCCCCCCCTCCCCGCCCTCCACTCCCCTCCGTTCCTGGCACACAATGGTCCGGTAGGCCTGTTTTTCTTTCTCACCTGGCTCAAGATCCTCTCTATGCATCTGGGGAGGGCAAAAACAGCCTTCCCTACCCCCTCGGAGGCCCGTAACAGCCCGTTTCCCAACTTCCAGTTGGACAGGAAGTGACATTTTTTGTTGTCCCCAGCCTCCAGAGACTCCTAGAGAGGCTGAGCTGGCATGCCAGGTGACATGGCCCCGTGTGCCACCTGTGGCACGCGTGCCATAAGTTTGCCATCACAGGCCTAGGATTTACTTGTATTGTTTGACCGTACAAATAAGGTCAAGGTAAGGTTCCACTTCCAGAACTTGATGCTATGGATATGTAGCAAATTATTAAATGGTTAATGAGATTAACAGAGTTGGAAGGGACCTTGTAGGTCATCTAGTCCAACCCCTTGCTCGAGCAGGAGACCCTACGCCATTTCTGACAGATGGCTGTCCAGTCTCTTCTTGAAAGCTTCCAGGGATGAAGCTCCCACAACTTCCGAAGGCAACTTCAGTTCCATGGGTTGATTGTTTTCAGAGTCAGAAAATCTCTCCCTTATTTCCAGGTTGAATCTCTCCATGTTCAATTTCCATCCATTATTCCTTGTCTGGCCTTCAGGTGTTTTGGAAAATAGCTTGACCCCAACTTCAGATGTTGCAGACTCTGTTTTTTAACCATTTAGTCGTGTCCGACTCTTGATGACTTCATAGGCAATTGCTCTCCATGCTGCCCTATCAAGCACAGCTTCTTTCCGTCGTTGGATGTTCACCTCGGCATCAGATTTGATGTGATCGAACCAGCGGGTTCTTTCTTTGCCCCGTATTCTTGTTCCACCAACCATTCCTAGCATTGTTGCCTTCTGCAATGAATTCGCACGCATGACACGGTCGAAGTAATTCAGACGTAGTCTTCTGATTTTAGCATTCTAAAGATGTTTCTGATTTTATACGTTTTAACACCTCTCTGTTAGTTACTCTGGCTGTCCAGGAAGACTCTGTAACTCCTACTTAAACTGAACGATGTCCTCTCTTTTTAAGTAGCAGCCTGGTACTTTTCCTACGATCTTTGAGTCAACCCCTAAAGAGGAGCCGACAGGAAGTGCTTTCATTAGAATGAGACTACAGGGTAGTCCCTGATTTACAACAGTTCCATTTGGTGACCATTCGAAGTTACGACGACACTGGAAAAAGTGATTTAGGACCAGTGGTGAAATTCAAATTTTTTTACTACCAGTTCTGTGGGCGTGGCTTGGTGGGTATGGCGTGGCTTAGTGGGTGTGGCAGGGTAAGGCTACTGCAAAATCCCCATTCCCTCCCCACTCCTGGAGGAAGGATATTGCAAAATCTCCATTCCCACCCCACTCTGGGGCCAGCCGGAGGTGGTATTTGCCAGTTCTCCAAACTACTCAAAATTTCCGCTACCGATTCTCCAGAACCTGTCAGAACCTGCTGAATAGCATTCCTGCTTAGGATCATTTTTCACACTTATGATCCTTGCAGCATCCCCCATGGTCATGTGATTTACGTTTGGATTGCTTGACAACTTGGTTCATATTTATGACGGTCGCAATGTCCCGGGTGTCATTTGCGGCCTTCTGACAAGCGAAGTCAATGGGGAAGCCAGATTCACTTAACAACTGTGTTGCTAACTTAACAACGGCAGTGATTCATGTAACAAATGTGGCAAGAAATGTCGCAAAATGGGACAATGCTCACTTAAAACATTTCTCACTTAGCAACAGAGATTCTGGGCTCAATTGTGGTCGTAAGTCGAGGACTACCTGTATATATATTTTTCCCATCATTATACAGTTCTCTTGGCTGAAGCAAAACTCCAAGCAAATATTCCTGGTCAGGAAGCACATCTGCATTGAGTTTGGCTAGTGGTTCTCTTTATTTCTCAGGTACAGCTCAGGAAGGAGCCGAACCTTCCCTCCGTCATGGCTATAAAATACTATAAAATAGTGGTTTTCATACAGTTTGGAAGCTGGCACCTTTTAAGGGAGTCCTCCTTTAGAGACTGCCTTATTTAGCGGCTGTCCACAGTTACAACATTGGCTATATAAGCAATTCTCCCATTTATGACCTTCGCAGATTGGTAAAGCAAAGGCAGGCTCAAGTCAGATCATAAGCCACATTGTGGTTTTTCTTTTTCTGCTTCACTCAACGACCGAATGGGCAGTCCCAACTGTGGTCACTAAACGAGGATGACCTGTAGTGCACAAATGTAGTACTGTAGGCGCTTACATTGGTTTCCCCTGGAGATACAATAACTTAGGAACTGTACAGGGAAATTAACAGACACATATCCCAAACATTGCTAAATCATTGGCAGTTAAGTGACTTTGGAAATTTAGAATATCCAAGCTTTAACATACAATTCCTAGAGAAGATAGTCTAAAAATTCAACGATAAATAAAAGCTGGATGCAGAACTGTAGAAAGGTATGGTTCACCGGGGAAATTGGCAGGAGAATTGCCGGAAGAAATATCTTGCTGTATTGTCCCTTAGATTCTTATAGCTTTCCAAAATATATAATGGTTTCAGATTTCAGTGTCTTTAAATGGTTTAAAACCTTCAAAAGCAAGGGGAACTGATGGAATCAAAATCTCAATCATGCGATTATTAAGATGCAGTGGGGCAGCTAGTTTGAGATGGTCTTGGGGAAAAAAGCTAAATGAGCATTTATTGTACTGTATATGGGGGACCAGTAAGAAATCCCAGGCCTCTTGGTAAGTATGCAAAATCAAAAAATCACCCTGGAAAAAGTGAAGAAGGACAAACCATTTTCATCTTGTTGAAAAGAAAACGAGTGGGCATGTCCACCAAGTCACACTTTGACTTCAGATTTTTATAAAAGTATTTTTTCCTGGATTAAGCATACACCTTCATCCCACCGTTATTAACACAGGCTTGAATCTGATAAAATCTGCCTTTATATTAGATCTGGGGTCTCGAAACTTGGCAACTTTTAAGACTTGTGGACTTTAACTCCCAGAATTCCCCAGCCAGTTTGTGCTTATGCTGGCTGGGGAATTCTGGGATTTGAACTCAACAAATCTTAAAGTTGCCAAGTTTGGAGACTCCTGAGTTGGATAATAAGAAAGATGAAACCATAAGAATAATATTTTGGAAATCAACCGTGTCTTTTTCAAGGATCACTCATGCCCAACACAGGGAAGACACAACTGCTTCCAGATGCTATTCCCATGTTCCTAAACCCTCCAAAGCATCTTTGGCAGTGCGCAGGATCTGAATTTGAAGCACCCTGAACCTCTGGCAGAGAGTTCCTTTTACAGACACCTAATTCTCCATCAATATGCCAGTTTGAGATATGGGAAGCTGAATCCTCCGGTTCTTAGAAGCACGGACATGAACAAGGGAAAGTGAAAAGACGCAATTCTGCCTGAATATTTGCAGCCTTCCAAATGCTCAGCTCCTCACTTGAATATACAGATAGTCCTCGACTTACAACCATTCCTTCAAGCGATGGTTCAAAGTTACAACAGCGCTTAAAAAAACGTGACTTGCAACCGAACCCGGCACTTATAACCATCACGGCACCCATTACCGTATTTTTCGGAGTATAAGATGCACCTTAGTTTTTGGGGGAGGAAAATAAGAAAAAAAGCTGATTGGTGGGTGGATCAGCCTCCTGGAATACCCCCAATCAGCTGTTCCCAGAGATGAATTTTAGCAACAGGTTCCTTGGCTGTGAGCTCTGTGCCTTGCTTTTTTTCCTGCCTCTGAAACTTCTGAAACTCTGTTTCCTGTCTCTGAAAGCCTCCGAAACAGAGCTTCAGAAAAAAAGACTTTTTTTTCCTGAAGCTTCTTTCAGAGGCTTTTATTCTGAAGGACTATCTGTACTCTGTTCAATCTCCTTTCTTTGGTATTGGTATATTGATTAACCTCTTCCAATCTGTTGGTTATTGTGTCATTCTCCAGATTTATTAGCATAGTTTGGTTAGAATCTTTACTGATTCTTCTTTTGTTGCTTGCCATATTATTTTAGATAAAAGCCTTTCAGAGGCTTTCTTTCTGAAGCTTCTTTCAGAGGCTTCTTTCAGCCTCTGAAACCTCCATTGAGAAGCTGGGCGGGGCTACATTCAGAGTATAAGATGGACCCAGATTTTCACCCTGAGTTTTGGGGGGGAAAGGTGCGTCTTATACTCTGAAAAGTACGGTATGTGGTTAAAATTTGAATGTTTGGCATGTATTTACGATGGTTGCAAATGTCCTGGAATCATACGATCGCTACTTGTGACCTTCCCAGCCAGTCAGTGGGGAAAGCTGGATTAATTTGATTTAACAATGGCAGTGATTTGCTTAACAACCATGGCAAAAAGGTTGTGACCTGCTTAACAATTGCTTCGCTGAGCGATAGAAATTCTGGTCCCAATTGTGGTCGTAATGTTCTTTGCAATGATCTGTGGTAGCTTCTAATATTCAACCAGATCTTTTACAGAAAAATATTGGAGAAACTCAGCTCTGTGGGACTGATGGAAAGCGACGTCAGTTTCAATTTTCAAACAGTGACAAATCTTACCAAAGCTTCCTATTACTCGGTCAGCAATACCTGTCAGCTAAAACTATCTAGGTAAATATAGATTTTACGGAATAGGAAATAGAGTACTGAAAGTTCTGTATTACATTAAAAAAAAAGCAAAAATGAAAGAAGTGCTTCTTTAGAAAAAAGGGAAGGAAAAAGCAAAAAAAACAAAAACCCAGACTTGTTGCTATACACAGCAATATTCTGAAAAGTATCCCTTAAGCAACAAAGTCCCTCAGTTCACTCTTGGAATTTAAAAAGTTAAAAAAATATGAACTTGCTATAAATAATTTAAAATTCTGTTATAATATAACTCTGGCCTGCTTTCTGTCACTTTTCGCACCTTCTCTGCAAACAGTTTATTTCAAAAGCTTATTTTGATGCATGCTCCCTTCCCTGCATGTTTCTGGTCCACCCTGATTTGCCCTTTTCTGCCGCAAAAGGCTCCAGATTTTGCGCCACGTGGCTCATCTCTGCGTCAAGATGAAGAGAGAGAGAAACCCCTGCTGGAGTCCCAGGGGTCTTTCGTAATCCCGGGATTGTGTTCCCTGCAGAAATTCTCCTCTAGACAAAGGCCCAGGTGCTTTTTCTCAGTGGAGGAGGAGGAGAGTCTGCAGCGGCTCCTGTTGTTCACCCACGAAGCACCTCGTGACACGCCCTGGTTCCATCTAAAGGTACGGCTCCCCAAATGTCTTTCGACACTCCATCACGCCGGTACTAGGCGGCCGATCACAGTTGTGGGTGTTCTTGACCTGATTGGCGGTGAGACGATCATAAGCCATCTTGTATTCTCTGTCGAAAGCATCTGGAGGGAGAGGAAGAAAATATCTATAGCACGGGGCTTATGCAGGCAGGCATGCAAACTAGGTAGGTAGGTAGGTAGATAAGATAGATAGATAGATAGATGAGAGATAGCTGAGAGAGACACATGATAGATAGATAGATAGATAGATAGATAGATAGATAGATAGAGAGAGAGAGAGATACAGTAGTAGCCAAAATTGTGGAAACCTTTTGGGAAAAGTGTATTTTCTAAAACTAGCTAATAACACCATTATTTTTTGTAGGAGTACCATAAAATTATATACCAATGGAAAAATAATTTAATCAAGGATGTAACGCAATAACTTTTATGAAGGATTTGCTATTAGAATAGCAGTACAGTATAAGGAAGAAAAGTGAAATACATAGGAAAAAATGACATATACAAAAATTATCACCATAGAAAAAATGAGATCCAGAAAAATTACCACGTCAGTTAACTTAGTTAGGTAACCTTTAGCATGAACGACAGCCTTACAACATCTTCCCATGGAATGAACCAAGTCTTTTAGTTCTGCAGCTGTTCTAATGTGAAACCAAGATTGAAGGATGGCTTCTCTTAACTGGGTTTTATTGCTGGTCGCGTCTGACTAACAGGTTTCTTGAGTCGGCTCCATAGATTTTCAATTGAGTGAAGGTCTGGGCTATTCCCAGGCCATTCCAGCAGTGGAATAGGATTATCTTGAAACTCCAAAAAAAAGTGGTGTTATTAGCCATCAAACCTCAAAAATATACTTTTCCCAAAAGGTTTCCACAATTTTGGCCACTATTGTAGGTAAATAGGTGGACAGGACAGGACAGGACAGGACAGGACAGGACAGGACAGGATAGACAGAGAGATAGAACAGGTAGACAGATAATAAATGATGACAGATAGCTGATAAATAGATTAGAAATACATAGAGACATAGATAGATGATAAAGATATATAGCTCTATCTATCTATCTATCTATCTATCTATCTATCTATCTATCGAGATAAATAGAGATATAGATGACAAATAGATGATAAATATATGTGAGATAGATATGTGTGAGATATATAAATGTATACACACACAAAGGCACACACAAAGACACACACACACGACTTTGATACATATATCAAAGTCCTCTTCTTTTTGTGAGACTTATATGCAGGCAGTACAGGAAGTCCCTGACTTATGACCATTCATTTGACAACTGTTCAACGTTATGACAGTGCTGAAAAGAAGTGGCTTGCGGTTGGTGATTGATGGATTTGAAAACTAGCATATTTTTAAACGATGCTGGAAGGTTTTGTCCCTAGCAACTACCATGGCTACTTTTCAGGCTGGAAGTGGGATGGCATATTTGAGTTCATGACCATTGTTGGGAAGAGATGCTAATTCAGCCTGGAAACACTGTCAAGGTTGGGAAAATTTTCTCCCTCCATCAAAAAATCAAAAGAAGCCAGAGTTTGCAATTAGGGATCATTTTCTGGGGAAAGTTGGTTTTTGCGCAAAGAAGCAAATTCAATTATTCTGTTTTATACAAGCTTCTCTACCGGACTTTCTGAACTCAACCTTCCCCCGTCATTGGCTCGAATTTATTCCTTATTTTGGAGAACAGAAAGGGGTTAAATACCTTTATGTTATATTAAGAGGACTCTATACTTTTCAACCTTCTGCCAACCTAGCAGTCCGAAAGCATGTAAAAAATGCAAGTAGGAAAATAGGGACCACCTTTGATGGGAAGGTAACAGCGTTCCGTACGCCTTTGGCATTGAGTCATGCCAGTCACCTGACCACGGAGACGTCTTCGGACAGCGCTGGCTCTTCAGCTTTGAAATGGAGATGAGCACTGCCCCATAGAGTCCGGAACGACCAGCACAGATGTGCGAGGGCAACCTTTACCTTATACTTTTCAAATACAAATGTTTTCTAAGCTCAGAAGCGATGGTTTGCAGTAAACATTTAACACATACTTAGGAGAACATCATTGGCAGCTTACCTATATCGATATTATCTCTTCCAAGAGCAACAAGAGAGAGAAATAGTATCTCTCTATAAAGACTCCTGAAACAAAAGATACAAAAATAAAATGGGAAAGCTTTATTTTTCAGCCACTGATTTTAAATCCGCTATACCAGACTGTGTATTAGCGTTAAGATACTGTGCTGCAGGTAATTTGAGGATGGGTTTTTTTCCAACCCCAGGAAGAGACTGTTGATTTTTAACAAAATCATTTCATTTTCATTATATTTTTCTTATCCAAGATGTCTGACCTGTTAGGCACAGAACACAAAGTACACAAAGGCACAAGAACACTAAGTTGAGTAGTCCTCAACTTAGAACAGTTCATTTAGTGACTCTTTTGAAGCTACAAGGGCACTGAAAAAAGTGACTTATGACCGTTCTTCACACTTACGACCCCCATGGTCACATGATCAAAATTCAGACAAGCTTAGCAACTGGTTCATATTTATTATTATTAATTAATTAATTAATTAATTAATTAATTTAATTTGTATACCGCCCTTCTCCAACAGGACTCAGGGCGGTGAACAGCCACGGTAAAAATAACCGCTTTTGACAGTTGCAGTGTCCCAGAGTCATGTGATGCATCTTTTGCGACCTTCTGACGAGCGCAGCCAATGGAGAAGCCAGATTCACTTAGCAACCGTATTACTAACTTAACAATGAACCCACCGCATGGGTTCACTTAACAACGGTGGCAAGAAAGGTCATAAAATGGGGCACAGCTTGCTTAAACAAATTTTTCATTTAGCAACAAAAATTTGGGGCTCCATTGTGGTCGTAAGTCGAGGACTGCCTGGGTAAGGTTACTGGGCTCTCTAGAATTGCCCTCTAGGAGGAAAAGCAGAATAAGTCGTCCCGTCGCTTCAAAGCATTGCTCGATATGGGAATACAGGCAGTTCTCAAGGTAGGACTGGCCATTTAACAACTGTTTGAAGATACAACTGCTTGGAAAGGGAGCTTAGCCATTGCAAAATGTTGCTTCTCCTCCCCCTCCAAACTGTGGTCACGTGACCCCATTTTGGGCACTTGGACCCTAACTCGCATTTATGACTGGCTGCAACGTCCCAGGGTCATGTGATTGTGTTTTGAGGCATTTTTATTGATTGTTTCCTAGTATGATTGTTTCCAAGAGCCATGGTGGTGTAGCGGACTAAAGTGCTGTTAAGTAGCACTTAGCAGCCAGCTGCCTGCAATTATTGTGAGTTCAAATCTCACCAGGCTCAAGGTTGACTCAGCCTTCCATCCTTTCGAGGTAGGTAAAATGAGGACCTGGATTGTGAGGGCAATAAACTGGCTTTGTATAAAAAAGAACACCACTTAGGGGGGGCCAAAAGCCCTACTAAGCAGGTATATACAAAAGTATGAAGGCTATTGCTTAACACATTGTAAGCTGCCCTGAGTCTCCGGAGAAAGGCGGCATATAAATCGAACCAATAAATAAATCGAATCAATAATAAATGATTCGATTGCTTATTTGTACCCTATGACTATCATTAAGTGTTGTACCTTATGATTCTTGACAAATGTATCTTTTCTTTTATGTACACTGAGAGCGTATGCACCAAGACAAATTCCTTGTGTCTCCAATCACACTTGGCCAATAAAGAATTGAATTGAATTGAATTGAATTGAATTGAATTGAATTGAATTGAATTGTATTGTATTGTATTGTATTGTATTGTATTGTATTGTATTGTATTGTATTGTGGTTTTTTTTTGCCAGTTTCCAGTAAAAACACATGCAGGAGAATAGTTTTGCTTAAGGACCACATGATTCACTTAACAAAGACCATAGCAATTGCAGTTAAATCCAAAGTCCTATCATGTGGGTGTCTTAACCTACGACCGGAGTGACTTAACAACCAAAATTACAGGTCCAATTATGGTTGTAAGTTGAGGACTGCCTGTAACCTACAGGCAAAATGGATCCCTTTGTACACCAGCCCCTAAACCAGGAGTCAGCAACCTGTGGCTCTGGAGCCGCATGTGGCTCTTTCACCCCTCTGCTGCAGCTCCCTGTCACTCAAAATATGCGTCACAACTGCCAAAGTGTAACACCCTCCAGCACGCGATTTATTGAGCTTTTTAACCCCTGGTAGGCCAACCATGGAGAAAAGAAAAGTTTCAGAAGAAAACAGAACGTTTAATTCAACAACATATGCTAGTTTTGTGGCTGCTCAAGAAATAGTCAGGCACAGGAAGGGTTTTGTGGCTCCTGGTGTTTTCTTTTCTGTGGGATATGGGTCCAAATGGCTCTTTGAGTGTTTAAGGTTGCAGACCCCTGCCCTAAACGGAAGGAAGTGAAGCAGCTGCTCTGGAAATCTCCCACTTCTTTGAAGCAAGCAGGGCTGGAGCAGAAAATGGTCACCCGTAGAAAATTTACTGGGATTTTTTATATGCTGTCCTGCATTGATTAAGGATACTTAATAGATCATCATTAACTTAATAATTAATTGTAGATTATTTAATGATTAAATAACACTTAGTACTTAGACTTATATACCGCTTTACAGTGCTTTCCAGACCTCTCTAAGCACTTTACAGAGTCAGCCTCTTGCCCCCAACAATCTGGGTCCTCATTTTACCTACCTCTGAAGGAGGGAAGGCTGAGTCAACCTTGAGCCTGGTGAGATTTGAACTGCCAGACTGCAGGCAGCCGGCAGGCAGCAGAAGGAGCCTGCAGTACTGCACTCTAACCACTGTGCCACATTAAATAATTAAATAATTAACAACGAAGAAACAAGCTTGGAGAGCAAACCGCTGCCGAAACCTAAAACCTGAGCTACAAGTATTTTCTATGATTTCAATGAAGAATGAACTTAAGAAACAATCGCTTGCCATTTTACCAAGGGATCCCTTGGTAAAGTGGCAGTGAAAATGGCGAGCGATTGTTTCTTAAATTCATTCTTCATTGAAATAAGGAGGACCAAACCCCGGCAAATGGTAACGTTGCTCAAAATCAAGGGACCGTCCTGCAACAGGCCACAAAAAGGAAGCAGGGACAAAAGGAAGAGATGGCGTTGCTGCAAAGTCTTTTGTGACATGACGAATCCCGTAAGCACAGAACTTATTTGGAAATGTTTTTTAAAAAATGCAGGCTATTTTTACAGGGAAGTGCTGATGTAAAAATAGCTTGCATTTTTACACCAGATTTCAAAGTACATTCTATTCTTCCGTGATAAAATGCCATCTGGAAGCATCATCTCAAGGAAAAGGTCAACAATTCAGAACAGTCTCACCCCGCTGATTTGGCAGCGCCCCCCCCCCCCCCCGGCCTTTTCGGGAGGCCGTCAAGACCTGGTTTGTTTTACCCAGGCACTAAAGATAGGATAGAACAGAAGAGATAGAACAGAATGAGGGTATATGGAGTTTGCTGGGAGCATCTGGTCGGGATGCGGGGGTGGGGTGGGAGGTGAGGGTTATGTGATTGTTTTATGGTTGTATCTTATAGTAACTTGGTTTTAGTGCTGCTGTGAACTTCTATTAGAATAAATAAGGTTGGAAGGGACCTTGGAGGTCATCTAGTTTAACCCCTGCTTGAGCAGGAGACTTTATGCCGTTCCAGACAAATGGCTGTCTAATCTCTTCTTAAAAAATCTTTATAGAGATGGAGCACCTACAACGTCTGGGGACAACGCATTCCACTGATTATTTATTATTTATTTATTGGTTCGATTTATAGGCCGCCCTTCTCCGGAGACTCAGGGTGGCTTACAATGCGTTAAGCAATAGCCTTCATCCTTTTGTATATACCTGCGTAGTAGGGCTTTCGCCCGCCCCCCACAGCAGTGTTCTATTTTATACAAAGTCAGCTTATTGCCCCCACAATCCGGGTCCTCATTTTACCTACCTCGGAAGGATGGAAGGCCGAGTCAACCTTGAGCCTGGTGAGATTTGAACTTGCAGTAATTGCAGGCAGCTGGTGCTACTTAACAGCACTTTAGTCTGCTGCGCCACCAAGGCTCTTGTTCTCACTGTCAGGAAATTTCTCCTTAGTTCTAAGTTGCTTCTCTCTTTGATTAGTTTCCATCCATTGCTTCTCATCCGACCCTCAGATGCTTTGGAGAACAGGCTGACCCTTTCCTCTCTGTGATAGCCCCTCAAGTACTGGAAGACAGTTATCATGTCACCCTAATCCAGTGGGTGGATTTTTTTTATACCAGTTCTGTGGCGTGGCTTGGGGGTGTGGCGTGGCTTGGGGGCCGTGGCTTGGGGTGTGGCAAGGGAAGGATATTGCAAAAGTCCCATTCCTTCCCCACTCCAGGGGAAGGATACTGCAAAATCTCCATTCCCACCCCACTCCAGGGGAAGGATAATGCAAAATCTCCATTCCCACCCCACTCCAGGGGAAGGATATTGCAAAATCTCCACTCCCACCCCACTCTGGGGCCAACCAGAGGTGGTATTTGCTGGTTCTCTGAACTGCTCAAAATTTCCACTACCGGTTCTCCAGAACCTGTCAGAACCTGCTGAATTTCACCCCTGCCCTAATCCTTGTTCAAGATGGGAAACTGTACATTTTTTTAAATGAAAAAAACAAACAAACAATTAGGGCTTTTTAACTACTAAACCTATAGCTGAGCCAGGCCTGCTTTACTGAATGGCTGCAGTCCTGCCAAATGCTCAGCCCAAGGAAAGATGCTTCAACCCATCTCAATGCAATGTGTGGACCTAAACTAAGAAAACCAGTGGAACAAAAATACCACAGTATCTCAAAATCCAGACGCCCCAATTCTTTTGGAAGAGAAGGAACACGGAAGGAATGAAAAGAAGGACTTGGGATGATACAATAGCAGCCTTTCAATATCTAAGGGGCTGACACAAAGAAGAGGGGGGTCAACCTCTTCTCCAAAGCAGCTGAAGGCAGGAGAAGAAGCAATGGATGGAAACTAATCAAGGAGAGAAGCAACCTAGAACTAGAACCTAGAACTAAGGAGAAATTTCCTGACAGTGGGGACAATTAATCAGTGGAACAACTTGCCTGTTGTGGATGCTCCATCACTGGAAGTTTTAAAGAAAAGATTGGACAACCATTTGCCTGAAATGGAATAAGTTTCTTGCTTGAGTAATGTTGTGGCCCATACGCGGCCTGTGCAGCTGGTGGCTGATTCCGACAGCGAGGAGGCTGGTGTGGTGCTGCGCCAGCAGCCTGTGCAGCTGGCTCTCGAATAAGACACTGAGGAGGCTGGAGAAGATGTGGTGCCAGAGGCGGGGATTCAGTCAGGGCCTTCAGAACCTCCAGAAGCTCCCTTAAGTGAAGAGGAAGAAGAGGAGGAGCCTCTTCTCGATGCACGGGCACGCAGAGCTGCCAAAAGGCAGGAGTGGCTCCTCAGGAGGAGGTCTCCTCAAGAGTAAGGCTTGGGGCTAATTGGCCACTCCCTTAGCCTATTTAAGGAGGAACACCGACTGAAGCAATTTACAGGGAACAACTTCGTTCACTCTCCTTCGTGCCTTGATCTTAGTTCTCTGCAAATTGCTTCTGGGCTTTCTGCAACCATAGTAAGATTATGATTATTTATTCTTTGGATTCTTGTAGGCTGTTAAGAAAGTTAATTAACAGCCTTTGTTTGGGAAAAAAAAGACTGATTTAATTTAGTAAACTAAGGTTTGTACAGACTTTGTGTGTGCTGCGTTCTTTGGGGTCCGTAGCTGGGGCAGAACAAGTAGGGGGTTGGACTAGAAGACCTCTAAGGTCCCTTCCAACTCTGTTATTCTGAATATTTGGTTCTCTGTTTACCTTCTCAATGAGTGACTGATTGAATCGTCTTGAGTTTTTTCTTCCAAGAAAAAAAAAAGACTTTGGTCTAACCTGTGCCTTTTGATCTGCGGTCCTTTGTTCAGCCTCTCTAGGATCTGGCTCATTGGTCCATAGACATCATTCATTTTAATACTCTTGACCATGCTTCTTAGGAGCTCCTGGTTAAAGAAACTGTCGTCCTTTTGCAGTAAACGAACCACTGGGTATTTCTGGGCTGAAGAAAGATGTTTAGAAAGTACAGTGAACAACAATAACAACAACAACAAAACAACAACAACTCCAAGACTGCCAACTGGTTTTAAAAATAAAAGAATATTGCATAAAGGCAATTTTGTGAAGGCGGGGTCCACAAATGAAGTGTGACAGGGAACAGTCTGATCAACGGCCTATAGGAGCTGTAAGCAAAGGAATATAAAGGCCAGGTCAAAACAGGTAGGAAGCGCCAGGAAGTCATCTCCAAAATATTGCAAGAATTCCTAGGGCTTATCTCAAAGAAAATGAAACTAGGACACAAAATAGCTGGAGGGGAAACGTGTATGCCTAGGCAGGATGCTTTGCTGTAAGCCAAAAAGCAACCACAAAAAATATACACATACACAAACTAGGAAAGGAGAGGGGTGTTATGGTTCAAAGTAAGCCAAGGAATAAATAATTTCTCAGCCACAGCAAGACGTAACACAACACTCACTCTCAATCACAAGGGTACGGTTTCGACCTGTAAGACAAGAATTGGCGTGATCAAACTCCTAATGCTTATCTGTTTCGGCTTCTGACGTGGTGGGAAATCTTTTTCCATAAAATGGTTAAGAATACCGGTAACTTACTCTGGGCGTTCCACAGAATATAAAGAGGCTGTCCTGGATCTTTGTGCAGTTTCATATTGTCCCACAACATCTGAATCAGAACGTGCTTGCTGTTCTCCAAAATACAGTTTCTGGGTATCTGTTAAGAGGAAGAACACAAAATAGTTTGAGGACAATTATAAAAGGGAATAAGGCAGCGTCACCCAGAAGCAAAGTCATAAGAAACAAGAAATATAGAAGTATAGAAGTATAGCCAGCAGGACAAACAGGTTTAAAAACAGCTTCTACCCATGGGCCGTCAGACTCCTAAACACAATATACTGTAGCACCACAAATTTCACTGGTGCCAGTGTAGTGTGTAATATGTATATACCATAATGTAAGATCATACACCTGAATAATATACATGTTGCACAGAATATGTCGTACATATGGAATCGTATGACTAGTTTTTTCCCTAACTTCTTGTATAAGGATTGTCCTGTACATTATTCAGGTTGACGTGTATGAACTGTACCAGCAGAGGGTAAACCAATTTCGTTGTATACATGATGTACAATGACAATAAAGCAGGGGTGAAATCCAGCAGGTTCTGACAGGTTCTGGAGAACCGGTAGCGGAAATTTTGAGTTCAGAGAACTGGCAAATCCACCTCTGGCTGGCCCCAGAGTGGGGTGGGAATCAGAGGTGGGTTTCAGCAGGTTCTGACCAGTTCTGGAGAACTGGTAGTAGTTCGGAGAACCGGTAGTAAAAATTCTGACTGGCCCCGCCCCCATCTATTCTCTGCCTCCCGAGTCCCAGCTGATCAGGAGGAAATGGGGATTTTACAGTATCCTGGTTCCCCTTTTCACTCCGCCCCCAGGTTCTACCACCCTTTCACCCGTAGTTCTTTAAATGAATAACCACCACAAATTACCATATTTTTCTGAGTATAAGATGCACCTTTTTCCTCCCTAAAAGGAGTTGAAAATGTAGGTGCGTCTTATATACCGAATGTAGCCCCACCCTTTGGCCTCTGCCTCACAGCAGTTACCTCCTTGCAAGCAAACAGCAAGAAAAAACAGCTCCTTTCAGCTTCAGCACAGGCTAATTAGCACAAGTTGAACGGCCTTCCGACTTTCAGCTGATTTGCTCTCAGCTGTTTTGCGCAGGGCTCTGCTGCTTGGTGCAAAGAGGTGAATTGCTGGAGCAGATTTTTTTTTCCTTGTGCTAATCCTTATGCTGAAAACGAAAAATGAAAGTAAAGCAGGCTGTTTGCTGCAACGAGGCAAAATTGCTCAGAGGCAGAGGGAGATTTCTTTTTCTTCTTTTCCTCACCAAAAAAGCTAGGTGCGTCTTATACTCCGAAAAATACGGTATCTGTTAGATTCTCCCTACAAAATCAATGCTTACGATTAGCATAATGTTTTGCTTTCCATACCTTGGAATTTTTATTGCAGTGTTCAGAGGACAGGATCAATCCAGGCAAGCTACTGGGTAAGTCCAGCCGCCGGAAATACCAGACCAGGTTCCAGAAGACGATAGGATGATGATCCACAAACTCTGCCACTGTGATCACGTGATCTCCTTCATTTTCCAATAAGCTCTCAAGCTCTTTCCAGACAACGAGAGGACTTAGATAAGGAACGGTGATGGGCTCCGGGCTAGGCAGATGCCACTCCAGCTGCACAGACTCCTGTGATGCCAGAGAGGGCATTAAGAACAAAGCTGAGCAAGAAATCCGTGTTGAATGACCATGAAAAAGGGGTCCTTGGTTGGGAGACCCTCCTCTTGAATCTTCAGGTGTTATGAGTGTATCTTCTGATTTTCCTGGGCTTTAAAATTTCTGCTTTTGACTATTTTTAACTATGGATAAGTTTTTTGTCTTGTAACATACAAGGCAAAGGTTCCCTCCGCACATATGTGCTAGTTGTTCCTGACTCTAGGGGGCAGTGCTCATCTCCGTTTCAAAGCTGAAGAGCCAGCGCTGTCCGAAGACGTCTCCGTGGTCATGTGGCCAGCATGACTCAACGCCAAAGGCGCACGGAACGCTGTTACCTTCCCACCAAAGGTGGCCCCTATTTTTCTACTTGCATTTTTAACGTGCTTTCGAACTGCTAGGTTGGCAGAAGCTGGGACAAGTCACGGGAGCTCATCCCGTTACACGGCACTAGGGATTCAAACCGCTGAACTGCGGACCTTTCAATCGACAAGCTCAGTGTCTCAGCCACTCAGCCACCGCGTCCTGAACTCTTGAGTAATTGCTATTTACTTGCTGCTACTTACCTGCAATACTGCATTCTGATCACCAAGGCTCTTTATTTAGGCTATGTTTCTTCTGAAAATCCAGGTGAAAAAGGAACACAACTCTTGGACCCTTACCGTTCTCTGCTGGAAAGTTGTAGGCAAGCTCCCTGTGGGCACCACACGGTTGTGGGGATGGACTCCCACTTCATCTATCTCTAAAGAACTGTATGCACTGACGCTTCTTGACAGGGGTTGGCCAAGCGGTTCCTCTTTGGTTGAGGGATGCCTTCGCTGAGAAGGGATCTGGATGCTCTTGGCACAGAAGTCCAAATGTTTCATCTTGCAGCTGCTGGAAGAGTTTACATATTGACTGAGAAGAACATAATGTCAACTCGCAAAGCATCCCTGGCCTGCTCTTATGTTGCCATAGGCAAGGGGGATGGGAAACCGACAAAGCAGCATGGCAGCCAAAAACAAAAGCACATTCCAGACATATCTCTCTCAAGGCCGTCTCCCAAGGTTACCCACAGCAGCCGGAGGGGAGTGATCTCTACAACCGGGGAAATTGCACCCTGGGGGGAGGGGGGAAAACAGGAACATAATTGGGCCGTAAATTACATGGGGTCAGAGTTGGCTTCACTTGGAACGTGCAGACATGAAGCTCCTAATAAATAACTGGATTTCTTTTGACGCTTGGCTCGAAGCCCATGATTTACTTAGGGCATCCATCAGAACCCTAACACATATACTGCTGAGGAGATTCCATGGAGGAGGAAAGATACTAAAATCTGATAACTAAGCTGGAACACAAACAATCTGTCTTCCTTTAGTATCTAAGCCATTTACAGGATAACATAACTGAAAGGAATCTTGAAGGTCGAACCCCCTGCTCAAGCAGGAGACTCTATGCCATTCTGGACAAATGGCTGTCCAAACTTCTTGAAAATCTCCAGTGATGGAGCACCCACAACTTCTGGAGGCAAGCGGTTCCATTGATTAACTGTTCTCACTGTCAGGAAATTTATCCTTAGTTCTAGGTTGCTTCTCTCCTTGATAAGCTTCCACCCATCATCTCTTGTCCTGATCTCAGGAACTTTGGAGAATAGGCTGACGCCGTCTTCTCTGTGACAGCCTCTCAAATATTGGAAGGCAGATATCATATCGCCCTAATCCTTCTCTTCAATAGGCCAGACCTACCTAGTTCTCTCAATTGCTCATCGTATTTTTTTTAGCCTCCAGCATCTTTGTTGCTCTTCTCTGCATTCCTTCTAGAGTCTCAGTATTTTTCTCACAAGTCCCCTCATCAGTTCTCCCCATTCTTTTGAAAACGTCCTAAAAATTACTTGATGGCTCAAGTTATCAACATACATTGCTGCCAGTAATTAATTACAATGATTAAAATAATGACTCCTGACGATTTTTCAGTGGTTTTAATCATACCTGTATGAAAATCCAACCTTTTCCCTCCAATATGCTGTGTTCACATGACTTGCGATGCCCAAAGCAAACCAATCCCATTTCAGTTGTGTCTCATATACTGTGTGAATTATCTACTGTGTGAATTTGGTCAAACTGATGCTCTTGGGGTAGGGCTTTTTCCATGAATTTTGCAAGTCCCTTCTCTCCATCCAATTAACCTCGCCAAGTTTGGAGTGTTGAGGTTTAGAGGGGAGTTCATTTTGAGGAAAAGTGTTGTGGTTCGCCAGCAGCCTGCGGACCTGGCAGCAGAGTCGGACAGCGATGAGGCTGAGGAAGAACATGGGCCAGTCCTGGAGTCTGGGGAAGGCCCAGACGAGGGCTCTGCATCAGAGGCAGAGATGGGGCCAGAGCCATCTGGGAGCGATGCGCGGACTCTGGAGCCTCCAGAGGTGGACAGCAGAGAGGCAGAGAAACAGGAGGAGCCTGTTCCTAGTGCACACATGCGCAGAGCTGCCAGAAGGCAAGAGCAGCTAAAGCAGAGGACGACTCGGGAGTAAGGCCAAGAGATGATTGGCCCAGGGATGGGTTCTAAAATTTTTTACTACCGGTTCTGTGGGTGTGGCTTATTTTGTGGGCATGGCTTGATGGTGACAATTCTTTAGGGTTTAGCAGAGGTACTGGTCTACCAGGCTTTTAACTGCTTGCAGAGCTGTACCGGTCTACCCATTTATTTTTGCAAGCACTGGTCTACCCATTTATTTTTGCAGGCACCGGTCTACTCATTTGTTTTCTTTTGGGGGTGGGGCCAAATAAAACGTAAGAATAACGTGGGGGGTGGGGGGGGGCAGCAGAACCGGTTCGGTGACATCATATCCTCACCGCTACTGGCTCGGCGGAACCAGGAGGAACCCACCACTGGATTGGCCCCTCCCATAAGGCTTAAAAGACCAGCAACGGCTCTTGGGCTCTTTGTTGGAAAACAATGTTGATAGATTTGTTTCTTGTCTTGCTGCATTTATTTCTTGTCGGCATCTCCTGCTTCTGAACTTTTGCCAAGAAAAGTCTTTCGCAGGTTGCCAAAGTAGACCAAGGTTGGTGATAAGGCCAAAAAACTGTGTTATGAAGAATTTGTTTTGAATTAGTTTGGACTATGCTGAGAATGAGTTAATTCTCAACTGTTCTAATAAAATCTGTTTGTTTAGAACTGATTGCGTCTGATAATACCTACTTGGGCCTGGGTCACAACAAAAAGGAGGTTATAAATGTAGTTATGAATGTTTTAAAAACCGTGAAATAAATCTACCTTTCTGAAACCACATCATTTTGAGCTGGAATTAAAGTTGTAGTAAACCCTGAAAGGGGATCAGCAATGCAAGTTTTGTTGGCCTGGTTCATCAAAGAGGATGGAAGCTGGATAGTTTCCGAAGAAGGACTGGACTTCAGGAAGTACCTACAAAGAGTTCACATGATTATGAAACTGTTTGCGTGTGGAAAATGTTGCCAGTTAAAAATTCCCTTTCCAAAGGATCAGTCAACAAGTACCTTCCAGGTCCCCGGAGATCTCGGAATTCAATATTCAAGAAAGGCAAGAAGAGATTTCCACAGAAGGGGCAGGTCGTGTTCAGGTTGGAGTCATCCGCCGTCCAGCCTGCCATGATCTCTTCGTCATGAACCAAGCAGTCGCAGGTTCGACATCGGGAGCAGCTTGAGATCAGGACCTGAGGGAGGCACGGAGTTAAAGCCACGGGGGCCATTTTGGTTTTGGTTTGGCATACAATCCTGAGGCTAACAAGATGCTGAAAAAAAGGATGTTTCTTTGAGGCAAAAATACTTTTGTACTTTCCCAGCCTCCTGCCCTGCCTGCAAAAGTGAGGATTTTTAATGCCATTTTTTAAAAACAAATGTATACATATTTCCAGAGCAGAAAAGTTGAGTTTGTAATTGCGGTTAGCAAACATTTCCTTCCTTCCTTCCTTCCTTCCTTCCTTCCTTCCTTCCTTCCTTCCTTCCTTCCTTCCTAAAGTGGTATATAAGTAAGTGCTATTGCTATTGCTGCCTGCCTGCCTACCTGCCTCTTTTCTTTTTTCTTTTCTTTTCTCTCTCTCTCTCTCTCTCTCTCTCTTTCTTTCTGTCTTTCTTTCTTTCCCACCCACCCTCCCACCCTGTTCTGGCCTTGTAGACAATGGAAGCAGTCATCATATGTTCTGATGATGTAATGGCACATAGGAATAATTTTAGGAGATAGAGGGAAGAACCTGGAGTGGTGCAGTGGCCTAGAGGTGGAGTTCCCGCCTCACAATCAGGAGGCTGTGAGTTCAATCCTAGGTAGAGGCAGATATTTCTCTCTCTAGGCACAATGAGAATATATCTGCTGAACAAAGCTCCACATTGGCAACAGGAAAGGCATCCGGCCAGTGAACACTCAGCTCCATTCAGTTGCCCAGACGCCACCCCACAAGGGTTTATGGGGTCTTTAAAAGAAAGAAGAATAGAGGAAAGAACCTCAGCCAGGGAACAGTCAGATAAAAGCAGCTTAGCCTTCATAAGGAAATTGTGGGTGTGGCAAAGTCTTAGAAGAGACCCTCCCTAATATCTTGGCCTGTAAACGTGGGAGTAGAAATATACTTTTAAGACTTGCAAGATTCTGTTAAGGTAATGTGATAATTAGTTCATCTGGGCGTGGCTTCCCGCCTGGATTACCTGGCAAGGCTGGCCAATGGTCATTCTTCCCATGCTTCTTTGTGGAAGAGTGTTTTCTCTTGATGGGGTCTCCTTCCAGGCAGACCCCACCAAAATGCTCTTATTCAAGCAGGAAATTCTGCTCTCTCTCTCTCTCTCTCTGCTCTCCTTGTCCCCGCTTTCTGTTTTATTTTTGGTTTGCCTTGTTCTAATGTCACATTCTACCCCACAACAGATGGATATGTTCAAGCCTCACGGAGCATTTGGGAATGACTTTCTATTCGCAAGATTTTCCTTAAAAGAAAAGAAGTCGCTATAAACTCAGAACTGCAGTTTTGGGCACAGGGCAAAGACCGTGGAGGGATGCCAGTCACTGCACCTGACGAGAATTTTAATGGGGTTTGGCAAAAACCTCTGGTCCTTCAAACTGTTTCCCACAAACAGGAGTGGTTTAGGACATGGGTCCCCAACCTTTCGGACCTCAGGGACCACTAAATTCATAATTTTAAATCCTGTGGAGCACTAATATGATCTGCCTAATGACTGGCTGGGTGGGCGTGGCTAGGTGGTCATGTGATTGGGTGGGCGTGGCCAACTCAACATCACTCACGTTGAGGGGCGCTTTGCCGGCTTCTACCTGCCCCTCCCCTCCCAACCCTCCTCGCCTGCCCGCCCGGGCTTCTTAGGACCCCAACAGGAAGCAGTTGTTGGAGCTAAGCAGCCATCACGAGAAAGAGTTGGAAAAACAGCTGATTCAGTTCAAATTGGATCTGGCTGAGAAGGAGGCTCAACAGAAGCACCTCACTGAGGACTAGGAGCATTGGCTTTCCAAGCAGAGGGAAGACCTGCAGGAGTCCAAGGCCAGGTACCGGCGCCTGGAGGCTCAGTGGGCTGAGATGGTCAGCCAGTTCCAGGCCATGATGCAGTCCCACTGGAACAAGGCCCTCCGGCTCTTCGCCACCAGAGACACTTCCCTCCAGCCTTCTCCCAAAGCCCCACACCAGGAAGCTGAAGCAGACCCCAAGTCGGAATTTCTGCCCCCCTCCAACCCACACAAAAAGACCCCAAAGGGGGAGACTCTCTGCAGCAACACAAACATTCATTGCACGTATCCGGCCCAGGGGCCCTTAATTTAGTGCAATATAAAAAATGCAAATAATTTTTCTGCGGACCACCAAAATTTTCTCACAGACCCCCAGTGGTCCATGGACCACCAGTTGGCGACCGCTGGTTTAGGAGGCTTCTAAGGGAAGGACCAAAGAGCATAAACTCCAAATAATTAATAGAAATAACTTGGGATAAGCTACCGCACGAAGTATTTTCCGATTCCTGTGCAGGTATGACATTGAAATAGAAGAACAAAAACAGGAAGAACAAAAGAGAAGGATGATCGGCTGGCCAGAAGGTTGTGGAGACTGTTATTTTTTTTAACACAACTGGACAACATTTTCGACAGCATAGTTACAGATAACCCCAAGTACCAGCACTGAAACGGCTTCGGGGAAAAAAGGTGTTTTTTTAAAAAACTGCTCCCCATGTCAGTTAAACTAATTAAAGCTTTAGCTGACTAATCTACGAATTAAGTTAATTACAACTTGCTAGCCTGGGGGGAAAAGTCCAGTTTTAACAAACAGATCCAGTGGAAAACAGGAGGATGTTTCATCCAAGGTACACAGATAGTAACAGATCTATTATCCCTATTATGTATATACCAATAGTTTAGGGACCCCACAACCTTAAATTGCCTCGTCTATTTTTTAAAAAATGTTTTTTTTAACTGCTGACTTTTTCATATAGCTTATATAAAATTTTTGTGAAATGTTCAGTAGGTATTTCCAGGGACATCCTTCCTTGCCCTTAGAAATGAGTAAATAATGCCATTTTTATTATTGTTACTGATTAATACTCAAGTTCTGATCAAGATACTCAGCAGATAAACTGAGCAATATAAAATTCAAATCAAATTAACCACAGCACCTTTAACAAGCAAGCAAATCACAATTTTTTAAACTTTAATTGCTTCATAAACAGGCAGAAAATTTTTCATGTGCCCTGTAATTCTAGAAACTTCGTCTGCATACCTGATTAACCTAAAAATTAACCTGGGCGTTTAGGCGTTTTTGCAGATGATTGGATATAGCAAAGAAATGAGAAAATTCTCGTAAAAGGAGCAGAAAGGAAAGGAGGAGGCAGGGTTTTAAGTATCCTCTCTTCCCCAGGGCAAAATCTCTCATCACAGAGCCTTTTTATACCTTTTATGTCTTTTAGGGCTGCTAAAGGAAGGATATTCAACACACCAAGGTAAATGCTTTCTGACATTTTGCTAAAAAAAAAAAAAAAAAAAGGATATTCCCCATAACTTTCCTCGTAGGATTTGAACGTCTTAATTTCCAGTTAGTTCACTGGTAGAAATAATACACATTCCAGTACAGTCTGCCTCCATGTCAGTACCAATTAAAGTCTTGCCATTGCATTGTCTCATCTTCCTCATCGCCCATTATGAAGGATAGCCAAGAAGCATGGTGGCCCACGTAGGTAGGACGCTGGGTTGGAAGTTAGTAAGCCTGCTGTCAACCCTGAAGCTGACTTGACCGAAGCCATCTTGGAGCTTCAGTGCTGCCACACTGGAGTTGAGGGTTGGGGTCGGGTGGGGATTAGAGACAGCTGGGTTTTTTGTGGCCAAAACAAAATACTTCCTCTTGGGAACCAAGGATGTTCTCACACCTGGTCAGAGGAAGGGGGAGTGATGTCACCAGGCAACCAGACAGAGCCGTGATTGGACCATGTGACTGATTGTTTTGAGAAAGTGAGAAACTTTTACTTTTAATTAGGTAAAAACCATGGGAACCTTCATAGTCAGTTTTCACCAGATCTGTGCCAACATGATATATCCAATAAAGTTATTCTTTGAGGAATCTACCTGCCTCAGAGTTTTGCTTACTATGGGTCTATTACTTGGAACCCTGACACCTGCCTCTGAGACCCCAGTACTACCATGGGGTGGGGTGAGCTCCTGTCCTTCGCTCCAGCTCCTGCGGGGGTCATGAAAGGAGCACCCCATTTGGATGTCCCCTGGGCTACAGTGATATATCACCAGCTAATCCTTTCAACCTGGAAGGACCTCAGTGCTTCTGACACGAGTGTGATGCGATGAAGGTTAACTGTGGGGTGACCTTAACAGGAATTATTGTCTTCTCTACTTCCCACATCCATGGAAGTGAAAAAGAGATGGACCAGGATTAAGGGGGCTGGGCTACAGGCAGAAGAACTAAAAGCTATGAACAGGCTCTGGATTCCAATTTTATCATCCTTCTTCAAACTACAGTGCCATACTTGGCACACAACTGAGCATCTGAAAGAATTTGGATTGCATAGACTCTATTGTAGTGCTTCTCAACCTGAAGATGTATGGACTTCAACTCCCAGAATTCCCCAGTCAGCATTCCCTGGGCTAGCAATGAAGATGTTATCTAGTTAGGGTAATGAAACGTCAGCAAGAAAACAACCGAGCTCAGAGAACACTGAGGACCCCACAGTCCTCCTCATCCTCCTTCGGACACTCTCTTCAAGCACTGATGATGTTACCTAGTTGGGTCATGAAATGTCTGCAAGAAATCAACCAAGCTCGGAGAGAACGAAAGGTGCCTCTTACTAATTGCATTTAATGGACCGATTGAACAGTAATTAGAATGTAGGTCTTTTTTCTTCTTCTCTTAAGGGTGGTAATATCTAGGACAGTGATGGCTAACCTTTTTGCCATTGTGTGCCAGGAGCCGGGGTGGTGGTTGCGCGTGTGTGCCCACACCCATAATTCTATGCACCCCACCCCTGCAATCCCCGCCCCCCTGCTCCTGGCACGCAATGGCCCAGTAGGCCCGTTTTTCTCTCTCACCAGGCTCCAGAGCCTTTCTAGGAGTCTGGGGAGGGTGAAAACAGCCTTCCCCACCCCTCCGGAGGTCCACCGGAGGCCGGAAACGGCCCGTTTGCCAACTTCCTGTCCCACCAGAAGTTGACAAATGGGCCATTTCAGGCCTCCAGAGGGTTGGGAAAGGCCGTTTTTGCCCTCCCCAGACTCCTAGAAAGGCTCTGGAGCCTGGTGAGAGAGAAAAACGGGCCTTCCCCATTACTCCCTGAGGCTTTCTGGAAGCAGGAAACAACCTGTTTCCCTACTTCTGGTAGGCCCAGAAGGCCCGAAAATCAACTCATGCCGGAGCTGAACTCGTGTGCCCATTGATATAGCTACACGTCATAGATTTGCCATCATGGATCTAGGATATAGAGCTGTACTTTCTATACCACAAACCCTCATTTAATGGTTTAGCAGTCTTTGATCAAAAACTTTAAAATGTGTTCATACACTCTAGTCTTCTGTGAGTGAATCTTATTCACGTGTAAAATCAGTTCAGATTTGATGAACACCCCTTCTCCCCAATAGATAATAATAATAATGGACTCAGAGGGGGTAAGTGTTGCCCATGAAAGCAGAGTGTTAACTGAAAGTATAAATAATGAGGCCAAGATCAGAGCCAACCAATCCACACCTTTTAATTAGCTCTGGGGGATTGAGGATCAAACCAGTGCCTTTCCAGCTTTTAATTGATTACCTAATTTAAAAAAGCCCTGATGCTGAAACAGGAGGCCAAAGCAGGCAGTAAAATTAATTAGTTTTTTCAACAGAAGAAAAAGTGGTGGCACTGTAATGTCAACAAAATTAACAGCCGAATTAATCTATGTATACAGCTGACAAATACATTTTAAACTGATTTGTCCTTTTTATTTTTCTCAGAGCAGCTCCCATATTCCGGGACTATCAAAAACGGGCCAGTCCAGATGATAATGATGCTTGACAGGGTTTATTTGAAGGGTGATGGGTTAATAGCTGTCCAAAAATGCACTCATGAAATTCTAGCTGATTAAATCGCAAAATTCCTTGGATTGAAAGAATTTTAGGAAAAATGTAATGTAAAAGTAGAAGGCAAATAAACCTTCTTTTGAAATCTCTTTCACCAGGTTTATGGTAACGATAGCAAAAAATACCGTACCTCCAAGGCGTAATTCTGGAAGACGCTGGTGCTGCTTGGGCTGCAAGAGGAAACCACCTCGGATTTTGAAACGGAGCCTAAAAACCAAAAGGACATTGTAAAAGCAAATATTTACACTAGGCCTAGAAAAGAAGATCTCCTCCCAGCTGCCCGCTCCCTTTATTTCAAAGAGAAAGGAATAATAACAATAAGAACAACAGCAATAGAAATAATTAAAATGTATTTGCCACCCGACTCCCAGAAACTCTGGGAAGTTTATCTATTCTTTAGATTAGATTAACAGAGTTGGAAGGGACCTTGTAGGTCATCTAGTCCAACCCCCTGCCCAATTAGGAGACCCTACACCATTTCTGACAGATGGCAATCCAGTCTCTTCTTGAAAACCTCCAGTGATGAAGCTCCCACAACTTCTGAAGGCAACTTCTGTTCCATAGATTGATTGTTCTCACTGTCAGAAGATTTCTCCTTATTTCTAGGTTGAATCTCTCCTTGATCAGCTTCCATCCATTATTCCTTGTCTGGCCTTCAGGTGCATTGGAAAACAGTCTGACCCCCTCCTCTCTGTGGCAGCCCCTCAAATATTGGAAGACTGCTACTATCGTGTCTCCCCTGGTCCTTCTCTTCACTAGACTAGCCAGGCCCAGTTCCTGCAACCGTTCATCGTATGTTTTAGCCTCCAGTCCCCTCATCATCCTGGTTGCTCTTCTCTGAACTTTTTCTAGAGTCTCAACATCTTTTTTATAGTGTGGTGACCAAAACTGGATGCAGTACTCTAGATATATTTAAAACATTAAAGAAGACATTAAAATGACAAAAAAACCAACAACCAATGAGGGCAAAGATGGCAGGAGAGAGACAAGTCCTTCTCGTATTGCCCTCAAGAAGGAATCTTTCAGCTTTAGAGACTATTCTGGATTTCTTCCATGAAACCTGCGAGATATCAGCATTCTCCAACCCTTATTTTATCTGAAACCTTGCAAGGATTTTGATTTTGTAAGACTGATTCCCTTGGGCTGATTCTAATGCCTTCTGGAAGGAGAGGTGGCTATCCCGCCAGTTCATAGGGTGACAGGAGTTTCCCAAGCCCATGTCAGCTGACGAGATGAAAGCAGACGAGGGGAAAAACAACAGCAGCTCCCTTACCGCAGTGCGAGGAACGTTTCGAGGAGCCGTTGTGAGAAGCGGCACTTTCGAGGCTGGTGGAGCTCAGGCCGATGCCCTTGAAAGCTGACGACGCATCGTCCCGAGGAGAAGAGCTGCTTTCCAGATCGTTGCACATGTCTTCATCGGTTAGCGAGGCAGATTCTGAATCCAGAGCCCCGAGGGACGACAAGCTCGCTCGGTCCGAGTTTTGATCCTGAAACGAGAACAGGCATTGGGGGGGGGGGGGCGGTAGGTTGGGAGTTGCTACAGATCCACATCTGGTAGCAAACACCTAGAGTGGGTGTCAGCAAACTGTAGCTCTGGAGCCGCATGCGGCTCTTTGGGCCCTCTGCTGTGGCTCCCTGTCGGGTGATCCCACCACTGGCTGGCCCTGCCCCTCATTCTCCCCTGGCCTGAGAAGGTAAGGGCGACGGCGGGTGATGGAGAAGCGGCTAGGGCAGAGACAGAGAGATACGGGGAGGGGGGGGAGGAGAGAGAGAGATGTCAAAAGGGTTTTGTGGTTCCCGGTGTTTTTTAACAATCGGTTCTCTGCCCTAATGACTGGCTGGGTAGGCGTGGCTAGAGGGTCATGTGACTGGTGGAAGCGAGTGACGTCGAGTTGGCCATGCCCACCCAGGTTTTGTGGCTCCCGGTGTTTTCTTTTCTGTGGGAAACGGGTCCAAATGGCTCTTTGAGTGTTTAAGGTTGCAGACCCCTGATCTAGCGGCAAAGCACCGCAGGTGGTCCTTGGCCCAAGACTATTTGAAGTGCACCCACTGTCAACTCTGAAGCTGGCCTGACTGAGGCCATCTTGGAGGCTTCAGTGCTGCCACACGGGAGATGAGGGATAGGGAGGGGGAAATAGAGATAGCTGGGGTTTTGTAAACTAAATAGTTGCCAGGATTCCGAGTAACACCCCCAACGAAAGAAAACGCCAAGTGGTTTTCCAGGGACCGGATTCGGCCGTGGGTGCTAAGATCTGGCCTGCGGGCCCGGTCTGGAAACTGCCTCTGCCAGCGAAAACAGAGCTCTGGAGGACCGCGTGTGGAAGCTGTTGCAGCTAAAAATGGAGCTTGCGAGGGCCACATGCGGCCTTCCAGAGCTCAGTTTTTGCTGGCAGAGGATTGCAGGAGGTCATTGCGGCTGAAAACGGAGCTTGGGAGCCTGTTTTCTCTGCCAGAGTGCTCGGGCCACCACAGGCATCCCCAATACGAGTGACGTCGAGCTGGTCACGCACCCCCAAGGTCAAACGCAACCCTGATGCGTCCCTCAGTGAAATCGAGTTTGACACCCCTGACCTAGGATTTTCACAGCCTTGAAAGGTAACTCCTGTGGAGCCGAAGAAGTGTTCAACCCTGAGCCATCAAGGGGTGAGGAAGGGCAAGCAGCCACACCGGAATCACTGCTGAACTGTGTATTTTCACGGCAACCCTTCGAAAGCCTTTACCTTCGATGCTGCCGTGTAGGTGGCGAACTTCGAATACCACCTGCTGGCCTTCTCCGCCACCCCTTTCCCTGCAGAAAACATGCTGCTCTTCAGGACATCGAAAGTCGGGGTCAGGAGCGTGTCCAGGTTGAAGGAGGTCGGAGAGGCGAGCGTTACTGCACCGGCCATGTCTTGAGATTGTCCCCTCGACAAATTGTTGGGAGAGAACACGGGAGAGGACCAAAGCCGGTCCCTTCCTCTTTCGTTTTTCACCTGGTAGCTCTTGGATTTGGGGAGCACTATCGGCCTGGGTGAGTTTGGCGGGAGGCTGGATCTTCGGCACGGCCGGCCTAAGGTCGGGCTTTTTTTGTTGGGGTTCTTGTCGTTGTAGGCCTTTTGCAGATCGATGCTGGGGGTCCGGCTTGTCAAAGGGCTGCTCATATTATTCATGTACATCTCGATCTCTTCGGCTAAATCGCGCCTTGCCGATGGGGTGGAGGCCCTTTTGTCCTCGCCCTCGCCCTCCTCCTTTTCTTCCTTCCCTTGCCCTGTCTCAGCGGCCAGCAAGGAGAGCGGATCAAACCCAGTTTCGACATTAACTTTCTCGATGGGCTTTACCGGAACACTTACGGCCCGCTGGATCTTCTTTGGCTTCTTATGCATCGGCTTCGCAGGTTTCACTTGCGGGATGGGTTCGTTATCCAGGTCTTCCAAATCGAATATAACCGGAGACTCGGTCTTATCCGCGAGACCGTTCTCGTAGGCTACATCTTCATCACTAGATTCTTTTTCCAAATTGCTTTTCCGAGCAGGTCCCAAAGCAGCTGGTCGGAGGTTGAGAGTCTTCGGCCTCATTCTTTTCTCAAACATTTTAGAAAGGATTTTGGCATCCACGCCCAGTTTCTCCACAATTTCTTCGGGTCTGGCTTCCTGATTGATCTGATTCTTCATGAGCTCCATTAGAGCATCTCCACTCAATTTTCTGTTGCGCCAAACGATCCGTTTGTGTTCCGTTTCAGCTGCATTTAAATGTTTGTTTCTCAGCATTTCAGCCTTAGTGACTCCCGTTTTATTGATATTGTCAAAACAAGAGAAGAGCAATCCTGCAGAGGTTTCTGGAAAGAAAAAAAAAAAGCATGGACAAGATCCAAGGATATTACATTAAGTTACTAAAACTCCAGCAGATTCACAGGACCCCCTTAATATGCTCACAGGGTTTTGCTGTAGTTTTTTTTTAAAATGGAAAGGATACAAGTCTTATTTTTCTATTCAATTCGTGATGAGTTTTTGTTCTGACCCGGCTCCTAAACACGGTTGATTTAACTGTAGTTAAATCAATGATTCCTTTATTACGAGCGCCAGCAGCCCCGGCAAAAAGTTTCTCTCTTACAACAGGCTAACAAGTCTGTCCAGCAGGGAGATGAATAGTTGTCTGCCACACCTATTCATCTCCGCCCCCTGCTTTTTATCCCCAGAGCTAGGGTGGGGCTTTGCTAGCAGCAATGGCTCTTTCGTCCCAAGGACCAGCTCATAGATTTCCACTGCTCTCCTCTCCTCTGCCTTCTGCACATCCGCGCATCAGGCACAGGACCCAGCTGTTCTTCCCTTTCCTCATCAGCCACCTCCACACCTGGGGGCTGTTGACTCTGCATCTGAGGGCTGACGGACAGCCCAGACTCCGCCCCCACCCCCCCCTCTCTCTGACAGCTTGATTCTCTCTTCCCCATCGGAGCTCTCAGGTTGCCTTGATGCTGACCCTGACTCCCACACCTCCTTTTTTTTTTTTAATTTGATTTATATGCCACCCTTCTCCGGAGACTCAGGGCGGCTTACAATACGTTAAGCAATAGCCTTCATACTTTTGTATATTTTATACAAAGTCAGCTTATTGCCCCCACAAGCTGGGTCCTCAATTTACCTACCTTAGAAAGGATGGAAGGCTGAGTCAACCTTGAGCCTGGTGAGATTCGAACTTACAGTAATTGCAGACAGCTGGCGTTAATCACAATGCTATCAGTCTGCTGAGCCACCAGGTCCTCCTCCTCTGATTTGGCTGCTGGAGGGGTCAGCAGCCGACAGGCCATAACAGTTTTCAGGAAAAACTGGCCATTCATGAATAGCCAGCCGTGTGCAAGTCAAATATCAATGAAGTTCACCCATGCTTAGAAAGAACTTTCAGCCACATCAGCTTACCTATAGCCCTGTCTCCTGTTGCATCTGATATTTTGCCAGTTGTATCATTAACACGAACGATCCTTGAACCGAGCTTGACACAGGTGGAATTTTGATAATTCAACGCGGGGAGGCAGTCACCGCTTCCCTTTCCACTCTCAATTTCAGATACTATATGCACACAAAAATGCACGAGAATTGATGAAAAGTTAAACTTACTCTTAATCAAAGGCTGAAAGTACTCAATTTATTATTCTTTAAACTAGGTTATTATCAACTATTGATTTTTATGGAGCCTGGAATGTTAGAAAATATGTCTGAATAGAAGCCTGATTATGGGAACGGGTCTTAGCCCAAAATGCCATCAATAAAATGTTGTCATTGAGACTAGCGTATCAGCAACATCTATGAACAGAAGCCACAATCTCTCATACAAAGTTTGTTTCAACGTGCATCTGAATATTCCTTTAAACCAGGGGTTTTCCTGGTCTGGGAACCCAGGAGTCACTCTCAGGTTTGTGAAATCTAATAAATAAATACTGTAACATTTCTGATGTTTAATTTGTAATATAATCTATATTGAGAAATATAATCCATACACTGAAATTCTTTGGGTCATCAATAATCATTTTTAAGCATCCAAAAGGGTCCTGAGGCCAAAATGCTTGAGAACCACTGCTCTAAACATTTGTAAGTATTAATGTGCTATGTAACTGATTTTGCAGAGTTTTCAATAAAAAAAATATGAAATCTACATTTTGGTCAAGTTTTTACTTAAGCCAACTTTTAAATTTTTTTCGCTTAAATATCACATAAAAGAATCAAATCTCCTGTTGCTAAACCTATTTCTATCATTCCAGTTACAAGAGTTGCGACACCATATTTTTAAACTGTGTATGTTTCTCCATAAATATTTAGGCAATATAATAAATGAGAGTAGACGGGAAGATTAAGAAAAAAATGCAGCCCTTTTAAAACGTCTTCTTTCTTTTCCTTGTCCCAAATATGGGGAAACTATGCTAGACCTCAGAAGGGGACAAATCTTAAGAATGGTGCCCACTGTATTATCTTGCCATGTAGCTGAATATGCCTGTTATTTTTAACTGCATTCAAAGGAGCTTTAGTATATAACTATAACAATGAAAAACCATCAATCTGAAAGTATAGAATAATAATTAAAAAATATGGGTCTCATCTATCTGCCTCTGAGCACATACTTAGTTCACCAAACAGATGTATTTTTGTATGTATTCCAATGGATGTAAATGAATACAGGTAGTTCTCAACGATTCGTTTAATGCAGTGTTTCTCAACCTTGGTAGCTTGAAGATGGGTGGGCTTCAACTCCCAGAATCCCCCAGCCAGCGCTGCTGGCTGGGGGATTCTGGGAGTTGAAGTCCACTCATTTTCAAGCTTCTAAGGTTGAGAAACACTGGTTTAATGAATGTTCAAAATTACAACACCACTGAAAAAAAATGACTTACTGTATGACCGTTTTCCACACTTACAACAGAATACAGAATAACAGAGTTGGAAGGAACCTCAGAGGTCTTCTAGTCCAACCCGCTGCTCAACCAGGAAGCCCTATAGCATTCCAGACAAATGGCTGTCCAATTTCTTCTTAAAAACCTCCAGCGATGGAGCATTCACAACTTCTGGTGGCAAGCTGTTCCACTGGTTAATTGTCCTCACTGCTAGGAAGTTCCAGCATCCCCATGGTCACGTGAACATTGGCTCATATTTATGACCATTGCAGTGTCCCGGGGTCATGTAATCCCCTTTTGCGACCTTCTGATAAGCAAAGTCCGTGGGGAAGTCAGATTTATTTATTTATTTATTTATTTATTTGTTTGTTTATTTATTTATTTATTTATTTATTTAATTATTTAATTATTTATTTGATTTATTAAATTTATATCCCGCCCTTCTCCCCGAAGGGACTCAGGGCGGTGAACAGCCGAGAATTAAAATAACATGCAATATAAAAGTTAAAATAATTAAGAATAAATTAAATTAAACGGCCACCCCAATTTAAAACCCCTAGCAATACAATTAAAAACCCTTAAAACCTATTCAGGCCAGGCCGGCTTGCTGAAATAAAAACGTCTTCAGGGCCTTACGGAAAGTGCGGAGATCCGGAATCAGCCGTATTCTGGGAGGTAGCTCGTTCCAGAGGGCAGGTGCTCCCACAGAGAAGGCCCTGCCCCTGGGGGCCACCAGCCGACATTGCTTGACCGATGGCACCCTGAGGAGGCCCTCTCTGTGAGAGCGTATTGGCCGGTGGGAGGTTATCGGTAGCAGCAGGTGGTCTCGTAAATACCCTGGCCCTAAGCCATGGAGCGCTTTAAAGGTGAGAACCAACACCTTGAAGCGCACCCGGAAGACCACCGGGAGCCAGTGCAGCTCACACAGGAGAGGTGTTATATGGGAGCGATTCACTTAACAACCGGGTTACTAACTTAACAACTGCAGCGACTCACTTAACAACAGGGGCAAAGAAGTTGGTTAGTTGGGGCAAAGCTCACTTAAGAACTGTCTCACTTAACAACAGGAACTTTGAGCTCCATTGTGATCATAAGGCAAGGATTACCTCCAACATGAAATCTAGCTGGGTTTTTCTGTAAATTTCTGCTAGAAGCACCGCTATTAGAAACTAAGTAATCTATGACAAGCAAGGAGGACAAATTATTTTAAAGTTCTGCGGTAAAATAACCTTCAAACAAGATGGCAAAATCAACCACGGTTGGAATTGAAACAAATCAAGCCTGAGTATTAAAAAAAAAAAAAAAAAATCAAATGCAATTGTATTGCATTTGGTACATACAGGAACTTGAGTCGCTCTCTTTTTTCTCATCTCTTTGGTCAATGCTCTTCTGGATGTTTGTTTTTCCTTGCTTAACTGCTTCTTTAGACAACTTATATAAGAGATCGGAATGGTCCCCTATTAAAACAAAACAAATAAAATCAATTTTAAAAAACAGGATAAAACGTATCTTAAAATAGGGCAACATAAATCCTCAAATAAGGGGATGATGATTGCATGGCTTGTTTTATTTTTCAATTATTGTATGGAGAAAAAAAACCCTGCGTCATAGCTGAAATTTAATAAAAGCATGGGCCTCTAAATCAGGACCGTGTTTCTTTTTTTTTTTTTCCCCAGACTGAAGATCTCATCTAAGCCTCTAAATGGAGCCAGGACCAAATATCTATTTGATTTCCATAGAATTTAAATTAAATTGAGATGCAATTAATTAAGTAGAGCTCATAAAATTATTACTTGTGGTGTCAAGCACTGTTGGCAGTGCCATCCATTTACTACCAGTTTTTAGCAAAAACGCTGAAAATGCAGTGTTGGCTTCTTAACTGATGCAAAAAAAAAAAAAAAAGGTTGAAAATCTAGGTCTGGTCACACGAAGACCTGTTTTATGACCATCACAACTTATGACCATTATTGTCTGGCTGCATTACCGTCATAACTCAGGGACCACCTGTCCCTACTTTAGTTAAGACTGCCTATAGCAGGGATGAGGAACTATGCCCCCTTCATGACCTGTGAACTTCAACTCCCAGAATTCCTGAGCCAGCCATGCTGGCTCAGGAATTCTGGGAGTTGAAGTCCACAGGTCATGAATGGGGCATATTTCCCCACTCCTGGATAATAGCATGGAGTTATCTTTGCCTCCTGGCTATTCCTTTTGGTCTACTTTCCTTTAAGCACTGAGGAACTATGTCGGGACGGGTGTGTGTGTTTCTGGGCACCTTTCGTTCCCCTCTGATCTTCACCTCCTCTTAATTTCATTTATGGCTTCAATTACATTCCAAGTTTATAAAAAATTCTGTTTAATTAATACTGCAAGCGCCTTTCAGCACTCAATCAACAATCTAGATAAAGGTCGAACAGATGAATAAATACATTTGTAAACTCTGGAGCTGAAGAGTATGATCTGTTTTTCCTTTCCTAGAATTCCTGATATTCTTTGTTTTCCAGAAATTGGTTGCTAGCTATTAATGTGCGACCATCTATTTCTCTATTACTTATACCCTGTTTTATTGCAAAGATTGTATTTAATGTTTTTTTAATACGATCCACGGTAGTTAATTCTTAATTTTATATCCATACTGCACATTTGTTTAATCTTTCTATTTTAGTTTCCAGTTTCTGTAATGGTTTGTACAATTTGATTTATTACTGCTAATAAGACTCTGATGGTTTTGCCTTTAATTTATTCAAGGAGGACTCATCAGCTTCAACAGAAACCAGAAAGGGAAAAGTACAGAAACAGGAAGTGGCCATTAATATTTATTATTTGGGAGGGTTTCCAGTTTGCCTGAAATGGTCTTGCAACATTGAGGCAGAGGCCAGTCTCAAACTTTTGCTGCATTTAAGATTTGTATTCAGGTCCATGTTTCTTTGAATGCACGTTTCCATTAGAGCACTGACTACACTGACATGTTGTGTCATTTTTACTGGCTGTTAATATTTAATAACTTTAATATATGAGCAATCTATAGTGCTGCTATCAGTTCTTTTTTTAGCATGATCATTGTGCTTATTTATGTATTTAAGTAAAGGTAAAGGTTCCCCTCGCACATATGTGCTAGCCGTTTCTGACTCTAGGGGGTGGTGCTCATCTCAGTTTCAAAGCAGAAGAGCCAGCGCTGTCCGAAGACGTCTCCGTGGTCATTTGGCCAGCATGACTCAACGCCAAAGGCGCACGGAACGCTGTTCCCTTCCCACCAAAGGTGGCCCCTATTTTTCTACTTGCATTTTTACGTGCTTTCGAACTGCTAGGTTGGCAGAAGCTGGGACAAGTCACGGGAGCTCACCCCGTTACGCGGCGCTAGGGATTCAAACCACTGAAGTGCCGACCTTTTGATCAACATGCTCAGCGTCTTAGCCACTGAGCCACCACATCCCTGAGTCACCGTGTCCCTATTTATGTATTTAGTGTATGGCAAATACATGGACTTATAGTGGTTCAAATGTTAATGTTCGAATCTCACCAGGCTCAAGGTTGACTCAGCCTTCCATCCTTTCTAAGGTAGGTAAATTGAGGACCCAGTTTGTGGGGGCAATAAGCTGACTTTGTAAAAAATATACAAAAGTATGAAGGCTATTGCTTAACGCATTGTAAGCCGCCCTGAGTCTCCGGAGAAGGGCGGCATATCAATCAAATTTAAAAAAAAAAAAGTCCAGTCCACCAGCCATTCAAGGACAGGGTGATCTATGTTGAAAAAATCAGACATTGGGCTGGTGTAAGCTCTTGATTGAGATTCAGACACGATGTGGTGGATATTTTGTCGAGGAGCACCACAGTCACACTGATGGGTGGAGACAAGACCCTACTTAAACAATAAGTCCTGGCAGACACCATGTTGGGTACGGATCCTGTTCAGAGTTGACCAATGCTGATGAGGAAGGTCAAAATCTGACTTTTGTGTAGGGTCGTCTACGTATCTGTCTGTATCTGGGCACCCAGCAGCCCATTTGGCTTTCCACTGTGTGTTGATGTCGAAGTTATTAGACAGCTGTCGGTAGTGTGAACCAAACGACTAGCAACAATTGGTAGCCAGATTACATTGAAGAATTGGTACTTAACGATAGTTGGCAGCCAGAGTTCATCTTTGTAGAACTTCTGGCTGTCTAAATCAGGGGTCTCCAACCTTGGTAACTTTAAACCTGGAGGACTTCAACTCCCAGAATTGAACTTTGTTGGCTGGGGAATTCTGGGAATTGAAGTCCACCAGGCTTCAAGTTGCCAAGATTGGAGACCTCTGCCCTAAATACATGGCAACAGATCATTGTGCTAGTAAGTTATTTATTTACTCAGGCTCAGAGGCATCATCACTATGGTGAAAACATTTCTTGTAATTCTAGCAGTCTGAAGTACAAACATTCCTAGAGTTACAAAATAAAAATCATACACAAATGATTTACCAGAAAGAGTTTTGTGGATGCCGTTTGCAGGCTGCTTCCTTAGAACTCTTTTAAACTGGGTTATTCCTAAAATGACATTCCTTATCTTGGTCCACAGGAAGTAGCCACTCCGATTGCTCGACGGCCAACTGCTTTCCAAAACAGCCTGCAATGACATCAAATGGATATTTAATCACGCATTTCTGAGGATCTTGGTAAAGATTAGATCCTGTTCTGAAAGTTTTATCTTTTCAATACTGTAAGCCGCCCAGAGTTACCCTCTGCCTAGATGGGCAGCCAATAAATAAACAAATAAAAGGTTTTTTTTAATATATTTATGTACAACTATTATGTCGTATGTCTATTTGTACATTGCCCAGAGTTGCTGTATAAGGGAGATGGAAGTTTTAAAAATGTAATATAAAAATAAATATGGATAAGCCCGTGTGGAGTATGGAAAGGATGCTGAACTGGCTTGGAAAACAAAGGCTAATCAAAGACAGGGGAGTGAGATGGTATTTCCATCTTATCTGATGCCAAACAATCAATTTACCTTATTGTAGTAACCATAGGTAATGGCATTAGGATCGATGCCGGCTTTCTTCATCTCGAAAAGGACTTTCACGGCTAAGACAGGCTGACCGTATTGCCCGCAGAGCTGCATCAACACCCGGTAGCATACCTGACCAAAAGGAAGAGAGAGAGAGAAGAGACAGGAGAGAGAGGGGAGAGGGAGAGGGAGAGAGAGAGAAGAGAAAGAGGAGAGAGAAGAAACAGGGAAAAGGGGAGAGGGAGAGAGAGAGAGAGAAGAGAGGAGAGAGAAGGGACAGGGAGAGAGAGAGAGAGGAGAGAAAGAGGAGAGAAAAGTGAGGAGGGAGAAGAGAGAAAAGAGAGAGGAGAGAGGGGAGAGGGAGAGGGAGAGAAGAGAGAAAGAGAGAAAGAGGAGAGAGAAGAGAGAGGGGGGAAAGAGAGAGAAGAAAGACAGGAGAGAGGAAGAGAAGAGAAGAGAAGAGAAGAGAAGAGAAGAGAGAGGGAGGGAGGGAGGGAGGGAGGGATAGATAGATAGATAGATAGAGATAGATAGATAGATAGATAGATAGATAGATAGATAGATAGATAGATAGATAGATAGATAGAGATAGATAGATAGATAGAGGTTATTTTTTCACTCTGAAATGCTAACACCTGTCAACGGCCTCACTGGCCAGAAAGCCTGTCCCTTTACCTCATCGGGTGGCTCTATTTTTTTTGTGTGCATCTTGCGCAAGACATCGTAGGCCGTCCTCAGGGCCCTCACTTTGGAATGGCAGACGCGGATGTAAGCAGGCAGGCAGATAAACCACAGGCCGTAGCAATGGCGCAGCAAACACCTGGACCACATCTGGGGGATGGAGGAATATCTCTTGGCTATCTTGTGCGCAGACTTGATTTCCTGCAGGGAGAGGCAGAAAGGAAGAGGTTAATCACAGCTGCAGCACCACGGTTATTGTGAATAGTGGACCAAATACTGGGATCTCCCATTTCCCCATATATTGGGAAATGGGAAATTAGATTCTAATACCAAGTGAGGAAGGAAGGTCCTGGCTTCTCTTTAAAATCCACCACAAACCTTCAACCTTTGCTTGGGTCACTGAGAAGCAGAGGGCTTGATGATTAGGTTTTGCAACAGCTAAGTTGCACCTCATTTTAACATCCAATTTATCAATTTCATTCTTTTGCCATTATTATTATACTTTTATTCATTAAACATGAAACTCAGTCAACTGAACATTTAAAAATATATCACAAATACCATTGACTAGCGCTAATTGTTGATACGGGTTGTTGCCAGTGTCCTAAGTATCAACCATCCATCATCATCATCATCATTATTATTATTATATTTTTAATTCTCATTTGCTTTGTCACTGTGCTATCATTCTAATATAGTATACACATTAAACCCATCCTTCGTTCTAAAATTAGCTTTCTAAAAGTAACACTTTATTCCTTAGCATACTTCTTTTGTCACTGAAGTTTAATAAATTTATCCTAAGAATCATAGTTTTGGAATCTGGCCTTACAAATTTTGCTTGTTTATCTATCATATTTATATGGCTGCTTGCTAAAAGCAACTCTGGGTATTTGTTATTTGAATCTTGGTCACTTTCAATCTTGGCCACCAGACCTAAAAAATATATAAAGAATAGATAATTCAAAGTCGAAATTAAAAGGAGAGGAATATCTTAATTGTTATGCAAATGATGAAGTATTAATAATTAGAAATCATAAAACTCCACAAGGCAGTTGATGAAATTAATTAAAGGTACTGGTTGCTTTTCCAGACATAAAATCAACAAAGATAACACAAAAACTTAATTTCCAAGGGGAAAAAAATTGTGAATAAAAAGCCTGATATAACAAAAGATCCAGTGAAATGTTTAGGATTTTACTTGATGGGATACAATAAAGACATATTTTAAAACAATTGTAACAAATTATGGAAGGAAATAAAAGAAGACATTGAAAGATGGAAAAGCTTAACATTTCCCTGGCTAAGATTTTCAGCAGAAATAAAAATAAATGTACTACCTGAGATGAACCTATTTCAAATGGCACCAATTCAAACCCCAGATTAAAACAAATTGCAGAATTGGCAAAGAACAATTAATAGATTGATATGGAATGAGGAAAAAGAAGAGTAAGATTCTAAATTTTGCACGTCATAGAAGAATAGAATAGAATAGAATAGAATAGAATAGAATAGAATAGAATAGAATAGAATAGAATAGAATAGAATAGAATAGAATTCTTTATCGGCCAACTGTGATTGGACACACAGGAAATTTGTCTTTGGAGTATATGCTCTCAGTGTACATAAGGAGGATAAACTACATTCATCAAGAATAAAAACACTTAGTGATAGCCAAGGTTACTAATAAGCCATCAAATCATACTAGAAAACAATCAATATAAATCGTAAGGATACAGCAACAAGTTACAGTCATGCAGTCATAAGAATGAGTGGTGGGTGGTGGGAACGATAAGGAGAAGATTAATAGTAGTGCAGACTTAATAAATAATTTGACAGTGTTGAGGGAATTATTTGTTTAGCAGAGTGATGGCGTTTGGGAAAAAATTGTTCTTGTGTCTAGTTGTTTTGGTGTGCAGTGCAGAGGTGGGTTTCAGCAGGTTCTGACCAGTTCTGGAGAACCGGTAGCGGAAATTTTGAGTAGTTCGGAGAACAGATAGTAAAAATTCTGACTGGCCCCGCCCCCATCTATTTTCTGCCTCCCAAGTCCCAGCTGACCTGGAGGAAATGGGGATTTTGCAGTATCTTTCCCCTGCCACGCCCACCAAGCCACGCCCACCAAGTCATGCCACACCCACCCAGCCACACCCACAGAACCGGTAGGAAAAAATTTTGAAACCCACCACTGGTGCAGTGCTATATAGCATCGTTTTGAGGGTAGGAGTTGAAACAATTTATGTCCAGGATGCGAGAGGAGAAGGCAAAACTAATTTTTTCCAATTTGAGGTTATATTATAAAGTATGCCATTTATCATGACACCCGAATGAATAAAATTTCCTATTCGTAGAATATAAGCTACAGAAAGAGCAGATTTAGCCAATGATTTTCACGGATATTGATGATATAAAGGAACAAAGAAGGCAATGATATGAAGTGACATGAAGAGAAAACTCCTTAAAGGCAAGGATAAATCCAAGTATTTTACTACTAGCATTACTGTCAAATACTTCTGATTTCAAAGGCAATGATAGCAAGAGAGATCTGATGACATATGTCAACATGATACATCTCATGAAATAGACTAAAGGCACAACCAGAATTGCAAAATAAAGGAAGGAATCTGCCGTGGCTAATATATTTGCAACCGGAAAAGTAAAAATTGATTTTACACCTTGAGAGAGATGAAATACAGGATCAAAATTATTCACTAGGACTTATATACAAAAAAATTTGGGGGCAGACTGTTTCAAAAGAAATGCTTTTATTTGCCACTATAACCCTATAAAAGAAAAAAAAAATCTCTGTCTTAATATTATCCAGATCAGATTTTGCATTCTTGCTATGGGATAGCTTGCCTAGATAAAACGCCGTAAAGGAATTAAATTGCATTTACAATTTTCTTCAAGGAGTTTATCTAGACAAGCTATCCCAGCAGCAATCCCACAAGATTTTATGGGCATCTAGTTTGTTATTTCTATTTTCACCTATGTTAACTCTGCATTATACCACAAGTGTATAAATTACCTGTTTTGTTCTTCTGAACACTGGCAAAGGACTGTTTGGGCTGCTGACTTTCGAAGACAATTTACTGTTTTGTATTGTCAGAAGTCCTGCTGGCTGCTCAAATAAATTTTGCTTTAGTACCGGAAATCCATTGTAGCTGAAAAAGAGTAAGGCATACTTTTATTTACTTGTAATCAACAAACCCCTGAAGGCTCTTTCGTACTTTGCCATTAAGGTAGAACATCTGGAGCATGTCTAAAATGCTTATTGCCTGAGTGGACCGTATTTTATTTCATCTATTGGAGGAGACCACAAAGTTCTTGAGATGGGCTGCTACTTACAGTAGTGGCCAAAATTGTGGAAACCTTTTGGGAAAAGTATATTTTTGAGGTTTGATGGCTAATAACACCACTTTTTGGGGGAAGTTTCAAGATAATTCTATTCCACTGCTGGAATGGCCTGGAAATAGCCCAGACCTTAACCCAATTGAAAATCTATGGAGCTGACTAATGAAACCGGTTAATCAGAAGTGACCCAGCAATAAAACACAAAACTTGACAGTGAATAGAAGCAATCATTCAATCTTGGTTTCACATTATAACAGCTGCAGAACTCAAAGACTTGGTTCACTCCATGGGAAGACGTTGTAAGGCCTTAATTCATGCTAAAGGTTAACCGACTAAATATTGAATGAGATGGGGATCATTTTTGTAGATCTCGTTTTTTCTATGGTGATAATTTTTGTAGATCTCATTTTTTCTACATGTTTCACTTTTCTTCTTTATACTGTAACTGCTATTCTAATAGCAAATCCTTCATAAAAGTTATTGCGTTACATCCTTGTTTAAATTATTTTTCCATTGGTAAATAATTTTATGGTACTACTCCCAAAAAAAGTGGTGTTATTAGCTAATTTTAGAAAATACACTTTTCCCAAAAGGTTTCCACAATTTTGGCTACTACTGTAGTTGTTACTTATTTTTTTACTAATGTACTATTTTTAAAATGTACATTTCGTTCATACGTTATACAAGATACATTTTCTCTTGGAAAGAAACGCTTCCAAATTCTGAAATCCAGAAGTTTATATTGACATCACTTTCTTGGGCTGCTGAACATCAACCACTGACCAGCCCACTGCTGATGTCTCTGACAGTTGTTCCCCAAAGTCTTAGTAAGAAAGTATTCTCTGTCATCTGATTATAACAGAATAACCAAGTTGGTTAAGCCTATTCCAACCTTCTTGCTCAAGCGTAAGACCCTTTATTTATTTATTTATTTATTTATTTATTTATTTATTTATTAATTAATTAATTAATTAATTATATTTCTATACCGCCTTTCTCCCGTAGGACTCAAGGCGGTGTACAGTCAAGAAAAATATAGATACACAAAATTGCTAATTAAAATTATTATTATAACATAGTTTGGCCCAATTAAATAGAACCTAAAATTAGATAACATTTTAAAATCATTCACATGTTCGTATGTTTAGCCCCGCCTGTTGGAACATTAGGGTCTTGAGGGCACGGCGGAAAGCACGGAGATCAGGGATATTCCGTATCTCCGGGGGCAGTTCATTCCAAAGGGTTGGAGCCCCCACAGAGAAGGCCCTCCCCCTGGGAGTCGCCAGTCGGCATAATTTGACTGACGGTAGTAGTCCTGAGTAGTCCCTCCCTGTGAGAACGAACTGGTCGGTGGGAGGCTATTGGTGGCAAAAGATGGTCTCGTAGGTACCCAGGTCCTAAGCGCTTTAAAGGTAATAACTAGCTTTAAAGGTGATAACTTGAATATACCAGTGATATATTAACTTTTTTGGTGCCGAGTGCCCAAAGCGCGTGCCTGCTTGCGTGAATGCGCATGCGGGGAACCCCAAAATGCAATGCGAGTGCCCCCTGCACATGTGCCCTCCCCACCAATTTTTATCTTCCAGGTTGGTGCTGGAGGCTTTCCAGGCCCAAAACGGGGAGCAGGGGGGCCTCATGCGGTGCCCCCGTGCCCTGTTTTGGCTTCCAGGTTGGTGCAGGAAGCCTTCCAGGCCCCAAATGGAGCACAGGGGGGTACGTGCCCGCGCACCCTCCCCCAAAATGCAATGTGAGCATCCCCGTGCATGCACCCCGTCGCCTGTGCATCTGTGGCAGAGACCCGAAGACCGGCTGGCCGGTGGAGGAGTGCAGGCATGCGCAGTGGAGCTGGGCTGGGGTGACGGCTGGTGTGCCCACAGAGAGGTCTCTGCGTGCCACCTGTGGCACGCATGCCATAGGTTCACCATCACTGTCCTAGGGTCTCAGCATCTTTTTTATATTATAAACCATTAGTGAGCTAGAGAACCAGTACCTGTGAGAATCAAAAGACATGGCAGATTGATCTGGAAGACACACAGTGAGGTTTTGAGGTTTCTCTATGTCATTGCTCAAAACTAGTTGCTGTTCAGGAAACAGTACACTTACTTAAATTTCAGTATTTAAGCAGGATAGATTTTTTTTAAAATTTTCACGTGCTATTCAGTTAGACTGACAACTTCATTAGTATTGACCACATTTAAGAATGCAGTTTATAAAGCTTATTTAGTTTTTAGCGAACTAGCAGAAGCAACAGCCCATGAAAATCGATACTAAACCGTAGATTCATTTGGTAGAGGAAAATTAGATGATGGAGGAAAATGGAGTCTCAGAATGGGTGAAAAAGAACAGAAAAAAAATTATTGTCTGGGACATCTAATAATTAAATTCATTACATGCGCTTTATCTTAATTGGTATGAGAGACTCTTTAGCTGTTGCTGAAGTACAATGAAAAGGTTGTTAGAGCTCAAGTAAAAAATATCTGTTAGAAAGGCTATGCACTGAAATTTTAAACCTCTTACAAAATGAAGCTCAGTGTAGAATATTCTGCAGTCATTCAGTTGGGAACGATTAGCACCTATGTGTGAGGGGAACCTTTACCTTTTTATATGACTGCAGTCTGATCGTTGTATGCCGCCCTGAGTCTTTGGAGAGGGGCGGCATACAAATTGAATTAATAAATAATAAATTAATAAATTGTTCATTGAGACTGCTCACTGCCAACCTCTGAAGCTGATATTCTAAATAGGAGCCTTTTCTACGTGCATTTGAACACAAGAGCAGGGAGAAATGCTCCCGGTTCAGACCGGATCACCCAATCTGGTAGCGATGGAGGCAGGTGGTTTGGAGAACCGGTAGCAAAAATCCCTGCCCACCCACTCCCCATGCCCAGCTGAGTTGCCTGATCATCAGAGGCTTTTAAAAGCATTTTTTTAACAACCTCTTCGGCTGAAGAGGTTGTAGAAAAAGTGGTTTTAAAAGTTAAAAAAAAAAAAATTACCCCACCACATTACCCCCCCCACCAAGCCACGCCCACAGAACCGTAGTAACAAATTTTACATTTCACCACTGCACAAGAGAAATATCCTAGTACCAAATCCATGCATAACTAAAATGTGCCCATTTAAACCCACTGAAATGATTGCAATCAAGAAGACGAAAACTGGCATTAATTA